GAACCGGCGGCCCGGGGGGAGAAAGGCCGCAGCAGCTTTGAAAGCCGCGGAGGGGCTCCGGCGGGGGGGCAGCCCAGGCGCGCCTGGGATGTATACCCGGCGTACAAGACGACCCCCGATTTTTGGGGGATGTTTTTTAACATCAGAGGTCATCTTGTATGCCGGAATATACGGTAGTAAAAACTCCACAAAACTTATTTTCTCAGTACAGTAAGCAAATGACTAAATACACTCTTACTCACCAGAATGGAGGGGCTCCGGCGGGGGGGCAGCCCAGGCGCGCCTGGGATGTATACCCGGCGTACAAGACGACCCCCGATTTTTGGGGGATGTTTTTTAACATCAGAGGTCATCTTGTATGCCGGAATATACGGTAGTAAAAACTCCACAAAACTTATTTTCTCAGTACAGTAAGCAAATGACTAAATACACTCTTACTCACCAGAATGGTTCCTATAAGTGCCATTTTTACAGAGTTCCATAGACAAGAACCACACAGTCTAAATTGAAGGTTAATTACTCCTCAAAATGTTTTTACTAGTCACAGCCAGCGAAATTCACTATGCCAAATTAAGCATGTAACTAACATTAATGGCTGAATCAAGGTGGCATATCCAGACACTGTATCATGTAATGAAGAATGAAATATTTTACCACTACCATCAAAGAATAGTTTTTAAAAGGTAAAGCAAGCACTATTTTACATTATGGTTCATACTTGCATTCTGGAAATGTACACACACTTTACACTGAGCTTTTTTTGTGAAAATCCAATAGGTAGGGCAATGGGTTAAGTATCTCTTTTACATTATGATAATAGGACCCTTCTATTTAAAACTGAACTTCCAGGCATTTTGATCCATGGAAAAACAGCCAATATTATTAAGTATTAGGGATTTAAATAACTTGCTCTACTCTGCACCACTAAAGAAAAAGTAGTTATTTCAGTAAGTTACATTGTTTTATACAGAAAGAAACTAAAAGAAAAGCCAGAACAAATAACTGAGCCATTCTTTGAAAGAATTTTTATATAGTTGTAATTGGAAAACTAAGTTTTAAACAAGAAGACAGAGAAGTCTATGCACTTACTCTATTCATTTTCACAAGCACACATGGAATTCCTTGAGCATAGCCAAAAGTGTCATCTTCTACTCCAGAACACGGTCCAAGCTTAGTGAGATTAAACTGACATGCCTGTTTAACAACTTCATTCTGCTCAAATAGTTTTCCTGTGGTACATAGTATGTTTTTGGATTGTTTTGAGTCATCATATGCTATTAAAAAAAAAAGAAAATTTCTCAATCCATCGGTGTAAAATACACATACAACTAAATCACACAAGCAATACATTTTTCAGCTTCAAAAGAAAATTATTTTCCCACAATACCTTTTCCTATTATTAGGGCCCTACCAAATTCACAGTCAATTTTAGTCAATTTCACAGTCCTAAGATACCAAAATTATAAATTTCATTATTTTAGCTATTTAAAACTGAAATTTTACAGTGCTTTAATTGTTGAGGATCCTGACCCAAACAGAAGTTGGAAGGGTCACAGAACTGCTATTCTTCTGCACTTCTGTTGACAGCGGTTCTGTCTTCAGAGCTAGAGACCTGGAGAGCAGTGGCTGCTGGTTACGAGTCCAGCTATGAAGGCAGAATTACCACCAGCAGTAGCACAGAAGGATGGTATGGTATGGTATTGCCACCTGTATTTCTGCACGCCTGCTGGCAGGGTGCAGCTTTTAGAGCTGGGTATCTAGCCAACATTACAAATAACTGTTCTCCAATTGCCCAGCTCTGAAGGCAGTGCAGAAGAAAGGGGGACAATACTATCACTCTCCTAAAATAAGCTTATGATCCAATTGCAATTCTGGGGATTCTGACCCAAAAATGTGACCACCACCAGTTTCCTTCCAGAAATCTGTAGTGTGAGGTAAAGGGACACAAAAGACCAGATTTCATGGTCTGTGATGCATTTTGCATGGCTGTGAATTTGATAGCACCCTATTATGCAAAACAGCAAAAAAATATTTCCAGGTATTTTTATTACCAACAGGAGGAGCAAGAAGTTTTATATTAATTAAATTACACACTTCCCTTCCCCCGCAGTTCAGATATCTATAGCTCTAGAACAGTGGTCTCCAAACTTTTTACACCCAAGATCACTTTTTAAATGACAGACCAAGCCAAGATCTACCGACCCGCCCCTTCCTTGAAGCCCCGCCCCTTCCTTGAAGCCCTGCCCTCTCTATTCTCCTCCTCTCCATCACTAGCTATCCCCAATCCTTATACTGCTGCTGTTTTTTTTTTTAATTCTTCTGTAGGAAGAGGTTTTTCCAACATTTGGCCTGTCTAGACTCGAGCAAATGTCAGAAAAAAAACCATTCTTTTGGAAGCCCCCTTATTCCTTGTGCAAAGAGGAATATAGGGGTGATCGAAAGAGCATGTTTGAACAAACACAACAGAAGAACAAACGCAACCCTGGATGCAGAAGAGTTTTTCTGAGATATCTCCAGAAGCCTGAAAAATTCCTGCAGTCTAGCTGGACCCTCGCTGGGTTGAGACAGGATGTGGAATCTCTGAAGTATGAATGAGGGATTTGGGTGTTAGAAGGGGTGAGAGGTGTAAGCTCTGGGAGGAAATCTGGATGCAGGAGGAGGTGGAGAAGGGGACACAGGCTTGGGGAGGGGGCTCCAAGCTGGGCAGTGTTGGGGTACTAAGCAAGCCACAGGCTTGTGGGTATGAGGGGGG